TTAGTATTGTTCGAAAAAAAAAAAAAGTGCGGGGGTGTGGGGTGTGGTGGACTCACGATTGCGCATGCCAGGTAGACGTAGAGCCAGAGATGGGACGCCCATGTGGCGTCTTCGTGGGTCGACATGGTAAACTGTGGGCTTGTTGCAAAATGAGTTGACGTCGGTGGGTTTGAGATGGAATGGTGTTCTCCAAATTTCGGGACGCCGAGAGGTTAAATTGTTGATGTCACCCCAAACTTGACGGATCATCCCGCTTGAAACGCGTCCGCCGACGCCATTAATATGGCAATGCCGGCATAAAACCCCGCTCGACACTAGCAGTCAACGGGAATTGCCCCGGCACCTGCTGCAGTACAACCATGCTCTTACGTCTTGTGCTACCTCAGCAGAACAGCAGGAAAGCAGTTGTCCCAATCTCTCCCCAACGGTTTTATAGCCCCCTCATGATATGTCCTATGTGATTCATCATCGCAATCCCCCCTGTCTTATCCCCCTGAGTTCATGCCAGGCTGATTGGAAGATCGCAGAGATTTCCGTCTGCGAAAATATTACCGGCAGCCCGTGTTGCTGATGCCAGATTCGTGTGACCGTGCACCTCAAGCCCCCCCCCCCCCCCCCCCCCCCAACGAACCCGGCACCGACTTCAGAGGTGGCTGCAAAAGTCTCAGCCTTGCGATCAACTTGAGCTTCCGCGGGCTGCTCATACACCCCCAACAAGATGCCAAGCTCGTTTCTTCGACCACGCAGCCTGTCAAGCAGTGTCACACTTCATCACTGCAGGCTGTTCGATGAAATTGCGGTCTGGCTACGGGCTGTAAGTCCTTCAATAATGACTGGAGGCAGAGGCAAAAAGGAGCTCCGCTCACTACCTAGGATTCAACTTACACACTAAAGATCCGCACCCAATGGTGGAACCCAAACACACCCGAAAAAAAGAGAAAAGGAAAGGCTGTAATCAATCATTATCACTGTCAATTGGAGGAGCTGGGAATCGGACCCAGGGCCTTTGCATACAGGTGATGCGAAGCGAACGCTCTACTCCTGAGCTACACCCCCTTCTCTGATGTCTTAGTGTTGCCGTAAGGAGTTAAAATGAATGCGGTGGTTAGGTGTGGATTGTTTATTTATTATTATTTTTTTTATTATTTATTTTCAGGCGCCTTATCAAACAGTAACCTCCATCTCAGTTTGCAATGTGAGTCACAATGATGCTCCATTTCACGAGGCTACTTATTCTTGTGTATCAAGCGGCTTCTACCTTGAACTTCCCAATCTCTTCGTTCATGATCTCTGTTAACTCGCGGGGACTCACTCAGTCTGCGCTGTCTGATCAAGGGTGCCCGGGGATTAGCGACCATCGTTGCACTGCAAGGTTTTGAAGGTAACCCTTTCGCCGACCGGCCACTTCATGTTGGTCGGACTCGAAGTCTGCGCCTTGCAATCTTTAACTTTGACTGCGTGATCCCCCTCGAGGTTTTCAATTTTCCGTTCAGCTCCTCCTTTTCAAGCTCCACCCCCCTGGCATTTCCGTGCTTCTTCGGGCTCAGATTCCCAAAATCCTCTCCTGGTGCTGGAAGTATCTCGTCCCACTAACCTAGGAACGCGCATCATCGGTTAACGGCATCTCAGGTGCTGAGGTCTAGCCCTTGTCATCATTGGCCAGTCTTGAGCATTTCCGGTTCTCGATATCAAGTTTTTGAAAACCGAATCGTGTGTTCTTAACATGTTTAGTATCAACGTTGCGGCTGTGTACCGCACAGGTCTTCAGCAAATGGATCATCAAGGCTTCCGATGGCCAAATGAATTTATAAGCCCTCTCTGCAATCAGGAGAGAGTCGAATCACTGGTATTTACTCTACTACCAACCGTGGCCTGTGCATGGTGACTGTTGTGGCTTGAGGCCATTCACAAGTGCGTTTATTCCGGCTTGTTGCTGTTGACGTCATTCCGCCAATGAAGCGAACCGGCTTCAAGACCATCGCGATGGCGTTTAAGGAACATCATAGTCCGCGAAGCGTGTAGTATACTGTTATTTACCACCAGGGCACCTGAGGAGTGAAGCAAGCATGACAGCAGAGTTCGATGATGCTTGAATTACTGTTCTGATTTCCGCATAGGAATATCAACGACCATCACCACTATGTCCATCACCACTATGTCCATCACCACTATGTCCATCACCACGACCGCTATTATGCACCCAGCGCCGGGGCAACTTCTAGGTTCGGCAAGCTGATGACCTCACCTCTGGGGCTGAAGGCCACGACCCGCTGCGCAACCCAAAGATACTCCACTGCCTCCTTCAGGGCTGGTCGCCTGCCCGAACCCATACTGAGCGCCTCACCACTATTGCCATCACCATACATCCTCTTTCTAGCACTTTGTATCGTATTGGTGGTGTGAATATCCCCGACCATAAATAGAGCACACTCGTGCCGTGTGAGGCCGATACAGACACGATGCGGGTCTTGAACGAACAGAGAGCCAGTCTCCTGATTCAATGTCATGCAGAAATCGACGGTAACACCCTCGCAGCCGTGAAAGGAAAATGGGGTGTTGATCTCGACCTCCTGACATTTTGGGTGAAGGTCCTGGGCCTTGGAAGCGTCCTCCAAGAACTGAAGGTTCATGCGGTAAGGCGTGATGATAACGACTTTACTGCCACACAGACCCGGGAACTCGTTGAAGATCGCGTTGGAAAGTTTGACCGTGGCAGCGACGTGATCGGTGTTATAACGGGACTTGGTGGTAGGCTCAGTCGTGCAGGGTTCCCTTTAAGACATGAATGTCAGCACGCATGTTTCTTAGATGAGAGAACGAGAACGGGAATCTGGGACTTACCGGACAGTGAAAAAAGACTGGGAGGCCTTCCCAGCGGGTGATTCCTTGGCCTTGAACCTCTTGACCACCCACTGTTCAATCATCCGGGCGGGCAGGGACTTGCTTAGCTGGGCATCCGGCCCGTAGCTGAAGTCGGCGTCCAGGATGTTCTTGTAGATCACCTTCTTGGCTAGATCGAAGCTTCCGGATGCCATCCGATGCTGGGTGGTAAGCATCAAGCATGGCCAGCTGGTGCGAACAAGCATCTCCAGGACTGAGATTTTGGCGAGCTGGACGAACTTGTTGAGTGCATTCTTGCCCGATGCGTCCATATTTTCGCCGACATCACAGATGGCGGCAACTGTTTGAAGTCACCTCCTAGGGCACACGGTCTCCAGCCACCTTGCCAGATGAGCAGGGCATCTGCCTAGGTTATTGATCCGGCCTCATCAAGCACCACACCCTTGGCACGATTGGTGTTGAAATTGGCGTACCGTAGCTCCCCAGAAGCGTGTGGCGTAGTGCAACCTCGAATATGAGATTATTTATGATGTCTTTGTAATCATCACCAATCATGGCGGGCCGGGCTGGGAAAGAATATCGAGAAGGATGGCTGAGGCCCCGGGAGTCGGCAAGTCGGCTGGCAGACGGTGAACCACCAGCCGGAAAGGGATCTGGAATGGAGCTTTTATGCTTTGGCCACTGCGCGTGCGAAACGGATGCGTGCAGCAACAAAGGGAAGACATTGTAAAAAAAAAAATTAAAAAAAAATTGTGGCTTTGGTGAATGGATGTCCGAAAGGCTGCATTTTAAGAAGCTCGGGGCGTGGAAGCCCTAAAGGTATCGCAAGGTGGATTAGGGCCTCCACTGTTGTGACATCGCTGTTGCCAAACCTGGATCAGGTCTATCGCCTAGGCTATGGCTAATGTACCTTACCTCCCTACATAGGTAGTCATGGAAACGCACTTCTCCCACCGCGACCTAGTCGTGATGAACCTCGGTCACCCGCCGTAGCGTGCCCAAAAGGGCGTTACCCAAGCCAATAGGTGGCGGTGTCCACAGGTAGCATGATGACATGATGAGCAGAGGCCCGAGGGTCTTTCTTGGCGGAGTGGCAGTGATGGTTCAGAAGCGGAGCCTGTCAAGTGGGGGCATAACGTGCTCGCAGCGCTCTCCCAACGAAATCCATCCCCACCCTGGTTTCTCTCTCCACCTTTCATCCTTCCACCTACCCTTTATCCTCTCATCCCTCGTCATTCGCGTCGCTCCCAATCGTCTAGCAAAAACGTGTCTCCGCCTTCCCGCCGGCCGTGCCGGAAGCACAGCACATCAAGCGCAACATCATCATGGACCAGGCAGTGCCCTGCTTCCTCGAGCCATCACCACTGGCATCACCAACAGCCCCGATGTCACGCTCTGGAGCACCGAGCTCTAACCGCTCTTCTTGAGATTATGGGCTGTCTGGAAGACGTGGCCCCGGTTGTCACGACCCCGATTGTCACAGCTCCGGTTGCCGTAGCCCTGATCGCCGCGGCCCTGGTTGCGGTGGAGTCTGAGGCTATCTAGTGTTCTCTGTCTCTTAGCCCCCCCTGCTGAGAGCGGTTAAAAGGTGTTTCCGGCGTTATCCGAAGCGTTTCCAGAACTTGCTGAAGTTGGTGATGTTCAGGGCACTAGGTTCATGGAGGTCTGGGGTCTACGGCATCCACCATTGTTGTTTACAACAAGGGCCTCCCCCCCCCCCTCCCCCCCCCCCCTGCACTGCTCAGCCTCCCTCCTCTCTTCAATCAGCCAATTCAACCCCCAATATGGTGTATTTCAGCAGAACCGTAGGCGCCCATTTGATTGCGCACGCCCGTCAGGATTGAGCCTCTGCTCAGAAGTCTTGCAGCTTCCGCTCCTTGTGGCGGCATTGGAGATGACTAGGTAGACAAAGTGACTTTTAATTAAGTTAAAAATAAGTGTAGGATGTCACAAATAAAAAGCGCTGGGTCGGTGGCGCTTAAGAGTAAAGTGGGATTGGTAAGACTGCGGTCGTAAGGTCAGAATATCAACCGGGCTCGTAACTAACTGAACCACAGGACTTTGCCTGTATGCGTATATCTCGCCTGCTCCCAAGAGTGAGATAAAAACAAAAAAAGGTACCACTGAAAGCCGAACCTACTTCGGACAAAGCATGTATTTGGATTGTACGGGATTTAAACCTATAACCTCTCTGGTTATTCTTTACAGCTGCCCCGTAAGGCTGCCGTTTGCTAACCACGCACTTACCACTGCGCCAACAACCCTTGTTTTCGTTGTTAAAAGTGCCGCCCAAATTCTTGTAAACGTAACAGTCGAAACTCCCTGTCCAGTCTTCCACGGATACATTTCACTAGATGTGGATTATGGCTCAGGGGCTGGTTACACCAGCACTTGGAAGCTTTGTATTTCACTATGTTTGCCTGAACGGGGAATGGTATCCTCGTGGCACGACGGGTGGGGGGCGACTGCGGCCGGTCATGCTAGCACTTGGTGGCTCTTCCTTGGTTGGCGGCGTGGCTCATGAAAGTTCATGAGGTCGAAGAGGTTTGACAGGTATGGAGCCGTTAAGCTCATCCGCCTCAAAATTCAATTTGTCAGCACCTTCGTGCCGATAGGGCTCAAGAAAGTCAGAAACGCGCTGGTTGGTTGCCGGTATGGTCCGGGTCAGAACTGAGGCGATAGGCTCAGCACGATCCGTGTAAAGCTACGAGGCCAGGCCGGTGAACCGCTCCAGGCCTACTGAACTGGAACGATCGTATCGAGTCATGGAGGTGCCTTCCCTGGTATTATGGCATGCGGTCGCTGAATCCTGGAGCTTCAGCCCCTGAGGCCTGAAACCCCCTAGACGCTCTCGAAGCCGATACAAAGCAGTGACGAGAATATCCCATCGCGTTGATGGGAGAAACGCTGTTAGCTTCGGTTTGGTCGCGTTTCGTTTCGGGAAAAGAGTGAACGGAGAGAGCGACTGTCAGCGGTTCATGTCTATTGAGTTCATCATCTATACTGTTGTAGAAAGGGGGTCTCTCAAGGGGGTCCAAGATACAGGCTGCCGCTGAAGGCTCTGCCAGCCAGTTGAGCCGGCCCCAGCTCCCATGGCCTGGCACTCCGTTCCAAAGGGGGGACGTTCCACGACATGTACCACCTGCTCACGGCATCGCCGCTAAACGCCCTATTAGAAAAGTCAGGGCCTCGGGGACTCGCGCCAGATAGTATGCCGGGAAATGTGTTTCTGTAATGTAGCTGGTCCCCCAGCATACCAAATCGCCGGCGTTGCAGATGATCATCGTCCTCTCGATGGGATAGTTCTTTATTCTCCCCCCGTCCTGCAAGGCCTGGGTGTCCCCGAATGTAACAACCCCGGCGATCCTATTCTTGACATATTCCGGGAGGGATTCGATGGCTCGATGGGCAATGGCTGCCCCTTGGCTGTACCCTGCCGCGACGATCTTGGACTGGGGGCAGTATATCGCCGCGTTGGCGAGAAGGACTTGCATCTCGTAGATACCATAGGGCGGCCCGCCGCCGGGGTAGAAGTTTGTTTCGATGAGGCCGAGGTAGTTGACTCCTTGACTGGCCACGTTTTCCGCGCCAAAGTAGGCCTTGAGGCCGTTGGAGAGCGCGGGGCCAACGCTGATGCCCTGTGTTGTGTTAGCAAGGCCATTCATTGTTCGAAGACGAGTTTCTCGCAGGGATTCACCATGTTTCCAGGCGCCAGAGTTTGCTTCGCCCATACTAGTATAATTGGCCGACAGCCAGTGTGACTGAACTCCTCGGACCACATGCCCGTCCATGTCTGCCGCTTCTCCGATGCGATGGGCGCCGCCGCCGCCAAAACGGCAGCCTGCCAAACTGTGAAAAACAAAAGCAGCAACATCATGCCAGATGACGATGACAATCTCTCCTCTCAACGTCGAGCAGCACGGCCCTCCCGTGCCGACCCTTTATTCCATTTCATGTGCCATCTCGCGGGGGCAGGCCAGCACGCAACCAAGGACGGCGCTGACGGCGGGACCGTATCCACAGCCGCAGCACTACCCAATGACCGTGCGCCTAGGGCTGTCTTTCATTTATCAGACGCGCAAAACCGGCATATAATACTCCGCTTGCACGCCTCTGGCAGCTGCCGGGACGCACCCGGGAGGCTCAGAAGGCCGGCATTTTTCGAGAAAGCGACGGCAACCCCGCATATATCGGGGTTATATAGCTGTTTGGGTGGCGGCAGATCTTTCGGATCGCTCCTCGCTTACGTGGGGCTACAGAGGGGCGTGGTATTGACTGCCGGCGGGATTGTGGGGGACGGGACCCTTGTTTGGTTTCGCAGAGAAGTGAATTGAATGCCAGATTGGGGTGCGTCCTTGGCTGGAAATCGGGTTTTGTTGCGGCTTTTGGTGTCGTGATGAGGGATTCATGAGTTGAAGCCTGGTTGGACTCCCGCGCAGGCTTGACAAGCCCCCCATCATCGCGCTTGTGGCTCCCGTCACTCAGACACCGAGTCAAATCATTTGCGACCCAGGCACTCAAGCCCCGACAGCAACAAAAATCAACGAGGTTCGCCATGAACGAAACCTTGACGCAAAAAAGGAAGCACTTTGAACGCTTTTCAAGGTTGAGACTCAACTCCGGAACGGGGAATCGAACCCCGGGCTGCTGAGTGAAAATCAGCGATGTTAACCACTACACCATACCGGATTGGTGTTTGGCGTCCCCAATTCAACAAGTCTATGAAAGGGTGATGCTTGCCGTTCTTGTTGGGTGTGGAGAAGAGGGGGGCCCCCAGGGCGAGATTGCACTCACCCTCGCTTGACTCACCTGCAGTTCAGTTACAGTTTCTACATGAAATGACATGAAGTCCGCAGCACTTTATTCTTTACCTTTTTACTTGTTGCACTCTGGGGGGGTGCATCTTTGGAGCCGCATTGCCTTCAATTCCAGAGTTCAAGTTGGAATGCGCTTGTCAACACGCCCAGGCGACGCGGACTCCATTTCTAGCGTGCTCTGCAGCTGGACGCTGCCAGTCGCGTTCAACAATGAGCAGCAAGGTGCCCGCACTCGCCACTGCGACGTCTAGTGTGATACTGGATAGTGTGTGGCTCATAGCGTGTGTCTGGTAGCTTGATACCTACCGGGAAATGTGCGCAATGATTCTCGTTGAAATTGAAATTCTCCGATCCACAACGCAAACTCAAACAAAATCCTCGCTCTTCGCAGACCACCAACTCAGTTGAAACTCGTTGCGCTCACAGCTTGCGGCGAGAGCTTGGCCGAAACAACACCGTCGGCCATAACGCACACGCTCTCCCATCCGCGAATCTCATCGGGGAAGTCGTCGCAGCGGGCGATCCAAGAGTCGGCCAGGGTTCCGCTGCCAAAGTATTTCGTTCTGCACCGAGTCAGCGATTTTTTTTCCACAACCTCATCAGACTCATATGCACTCACGCAGGCTCGTCCTTGCACTCCCAGCTGCCCCTCACCCTCAAGTCGTACGTCGCCAGCTCAAACTGGAAACTCGTGCCCGGCACGCTGCACTCGTACCAGACATCGGTGGCGCCCTTGAGATCGATGTTCTCGGCGACGCACCCAAACGTCGTGTCAGCAGCGACGTTGTGAGCCACAAAGCGGATATCCCCCTTGGTCAAGCCCTCGCGGTAATCGATGGCGGTGAAAACAAGCTTCGTGATTTCCCAGCGGGGGTTCGAAGTGGAGATGTCGCTGCACACGGATGAAACCTTGAAGTCGGACGTGTAGGCGTTGGAGACGATAATGTCACCTCTTGGCGCGACTTCGGGCGCTCGCACGGCGAGGGACGCGGCGAGGCCGACCAGCGAGGCAATTAAACCAATGAGGCGGGACATGGTGAATGATCTCGGCGAACAAGCTTTTTCTCCAACGAGCTTCCAAGCCCTCGATCGAGATCTCTCTCCCTCAACCTCTGGGGTTTCCCCTCCCCCGCCATGGGAAAGCTGACCTTTAAGCTCGGCGGATTGGGAAACTCGAGGTGCAGCCATCAGGCTAAAGCGGTCCACCCAGAGTGCGCACATAAAAGACGCCCGTCGCTGGAGCGAGAGGAGCCAATCGCAGCGCCGGATATATGGTGGGAATCGCGGCAGTTGTGGGGGGGCGGCTGCGAGACGGACTCAGTTTAAGTCCCGGTCACCAGCTGATCGTCGTTATCCCGTTTTCATTTCGACCTATTTAGTTATAAAAAAAAACCGCGGGGTTGCGCAGCTGGTCCATTTGGCGTCCAGAAGTCTGGACCTGCCGGCAGTGCGGCTCCACGGCGTGCCTTGGTCATGCAGCTGTCATCGGCAGCCTTCGGAGATTTCTGGCCGCCGTCGCACAAGATGATAAGACGCGTCGGTGCTCTTTTCTGGCCTGATCATCGTATGTCGTGTTGTTGGATAAAGCGTCGTGGTTTGCCACCCTGAACAGCGAGTTGGTGACATTCGGACGAACACATACCGTGCCCAGTCGTTCATAGCAACCCAGCGATGCAACTTTGACGGCGCAGGACAATGGAGTTGGTTGATCGAGGAAGAAGTCGAAAATGTAAGCTGAGACAAGTACAATGGTTTTTATTCGCCCCTAGATTTAAACTTCTCCATGACGCATATTAAACTCCACCCCTCATCAACACCATCTAAAACCCTAAAATCGCAACCCTCGTAGCGGTAAGCAAGTGAGGCAGGCGGCAGTACAACAGCCCGCACCCAATCGCAATAAAGATGAAAACAGCCGGCAGCTTCATGAGCGAGGTAAGAAACAAAAAGATCAAACTCCCCGAAACGTCGCCCATCTCCCTCACCACACCATGCATGCCGCCGTCCATGGCCAAGGATGGCCAACACGCCCGAGATGATGACCATGACGGTGCTGACCACCCCGACAACGAAAATCGCCAGCGGACCGCCCTTCTTGCCGACGCCCACGTTGGCAATGTCGAGGATCTTAGACATGATGGTCAGCGCTGCGCTGGCCTTGTTTTTAGCGGGGACGGCGGAGGTCCCGTCGCGCAATTTGGCCGCGGGGACGGTGCTGTACGTTTCCTCCCACGCCAACATGACGGTGGCGATGGGTCTTTTCCGATTCGGTGAAGTCGGGGGCAATATTGCCTCGGAGAGACTCATGCACGACGGAGAGGACGTCGACGTTGGGCGGGAATGCGCGGCGACATCTCGTCACGCGGTTGGCGGTAGGGCCCGGAACGGGATTGGGTGTGTCGGCGAAGAAGTCGCAGATGCCGGAGAGGCCAAAGTACCAGTGGGTT